TTACCGTGGCGGGGCCTGAGCAGAGTTCGGCTTCGCGAGGGTGATAAAGGGAAGGACTCGCAGTCTCAGCACACGTTTGATCTGGCGGGAGGAAGGAGATAAGAGGACGCAGACAGGGTCGGCCCGAAACGCAGGTGCTCGTCGGTGCAAAACACAGCTTCAACGCTCGCCTTCCCTGAGCGAACGCTTATCGTAACGAGCACGCCCAAGCCAATATGCTAATCTTAGTCACGCTGGTGTAAGCCCAAAGTAACCCCGCTGAAGACAATAGAGTTACTTCAAATTTGCTTCAATGTGACAGAATTTACAGATTTAAGTCTATTTTTGTGCTGCACCTTCCCAGGGAACAGCCTCCCCCTGGCTCTTTGGCACCGAATTCTTTCTTTCTCTTTCAAATCCTTGCTAATTCTGCGGGGCAAGTTGCTCTCTTGGACCCAGCTGAATGATTTGAAAAGGGAAATAGGTCCTATGTTTGCAAAGGAACCTTCCTGGCTTTGTTTTCCTTGCTGGAAATCTCTTCACCTTATCCTTCAGCTGTTACCCCCTCTGCGGGGACGAGTCCTGAGAGGATCTGAGCGCCTTTGGCGGGGTGCTGAGTCCCTTTCACTCCTATTAATGCTCTGGGAAGCGGGGTGGAGAGGGAGAGCTCAGCACCTTCCAGGGTGCGACCCAGGAGATTCGCTTGGGAATACACTGGGAGCACGGTGCTTCTGGAAGGAAGGATCTGGCCCTTCAGCGGAGGCTCACGAACGTATCTCACTTGCTGAACTGCATCAGGCAAGGCCCAAAGCACCGTCAGCTCTCATTAAAAGAGGCGCAGCCGAAGGGAAGGGGAAGAAGTGGCAGATAAAGGCGAATGTCGAGGCCCCGTCATCACCTTGCTAACCAACGTGCCTTGCTACAGCCCCGCGTCTCCACAGCAGCCCTCAGCGCTTGCTGTGCTCTTCGCAGGGGCTGTATTTTTGCACAGGGCCTTTTGCATTTACATAAAAAATAAGGACCCTGACTTCACAGCAGTGAACTCTGTGACGAGCCAGAGATATTCAAACGCTGCCGCAAAATTATCTTTCTAATAAGCTAACTTATCTCTGCTGGAAATAACAAGCCTCGCCCTACACCAGCTTCTCTGATAAGGGACCCAAGGGATAAGAAAAGGGACCCAGCCAAGGTGTTATAAATATCCTGAAACTATTTTGTTCTCCGGTGTTGCTCACAACAATGATTTATTTCTAGAGGGGGAGCAATCAGGGAAATCCCTTTGTCCTTAAACGCTGCGCACAGGCTTGAAGCATTCCATAATTTTGAAGCTTATGGTTCATATATTTCCCCCTCCCTTCTTTCTATTTGTCTACAATTTGCATTCTGCTTTGCTGAATACGTGCTGATGTGCGGTTTATCTCGCTCGCAGCTCTGAGACCTTTGTGTTTTTTCATCCTTCCCCCCTCTGAAATTCCACAAATAAATCACTGCTTTGGTAACATTCCTTGGAAGCCTCCGTGTAAAATATCTTTCCCCCTGATTTGTCCTCGCTGTCTCATGCACATACCACTTTGTTTACCGCACGGTTGCGCATAATCCGGCTATGTTTAAAAATATAGATAATATATATAATACCCACCTTCATACAGGAGCAAAAAAAGAAGGGTTTCATTATTGTTCTGTATATGTTTATACATAATATATGGACACACATACATATCCAGCGTCTATGATATAATATGTATATACACTATATGTACACACGCATGTACATATATATATGCGGGTAATAATGAAGCGCTCCTTATTTTATCCCTGTGTGTAGGTGGATCCTAAGAAATGCGAGTCCCCCGCACTTCCCCTTGCCTCCAAGTACATATTTGCTAAGTCCGCGAGTTCGGTGTGTTTGTGTACAGTGCAAACAAAGACCTACACAGGCTGTGCAAACACTGCAAAAACAAGAACGGGTGACTTGTGGGTCAAATGTTATTTTTCCTAATGCGATACACAGCCACAATTTAAATGTTTTCATAACTCCTACTGTTTGCACCCAGTTTTCCTTGTGTTACAATCAAGATAAAGCTTTTAGGCATGCTTCTTGCCTCTGATGTATAAAATATTTGGCTGACCTCCCAATTTCAGATGCTGCAGAGTTTTGGGGGTAGACGGTGCCGATGTGTCAGGCAAAAGAAGAGCAGCTGGAAGATGCCGTGAGGCTGACCCACAGCTGTAGGGGTCCGTGTCCTGTTTGGAAGGGAGCTGATGACGCACAGGCAAGTGTTTTCTTAGTGTCATATTTTATTTACAAACCCTACAGCGCAGTCATCTCCCTCCAGGAGCAAAACCTGCGAACTGCAGGCAGGCGGCTGCGCCGTGCGGGACCTGGCGAGGAGCTCGGGGCTGGTTGCTTCTCCCGAGCCTCTGGCTTCGCCCCGGAGCTCACCACGGACCCAAACCACCTGCAGAAGCTGAATGAAGCCCCGTCCCCAGACACCCGGCGGCAGGATGCCTGCTGGAGCCTTCGTTACGCTCTCTCTGCTCGCTGGTGTATCCTGCACGCCAGAGCCAGGCCTAGATTTCCACTGAGCCGAACGTTTCGCACTCCCAACGGCTGGTTTCCGTCTGAAATCTCCCACCAGCGGAAGCTGTCAACAACGATGACAAGTCCATCTCAAGTTTGTTAAAATCACATTTTTGATAAAAAATGTTAAAAGATTCTGCTTGGAAAATTCTGAAACAACCTATTTTGACATGGGAGAAATCTGATTTGCCATTCCTCCCCTCCTACTTCTTTTCTTTTTTATTTTTTTGGTAAAAGTTGATGGGTTTCTGATGAAAGGCATTTTCAAATGGAAAAATCTTCTATTGGTGAGTTTTGGAAGGTTCATATTGGCAAAAATACTACCAATAAAATCCTCATATAAAAATATCATAAGTTGCTTTTTTTCTAGTATAGCAGTGACCACAACAGGGTTTTTCCTGCTATAGCTATTTGGATTAAGAAAACACAGCACATTCCACGGTCTTGGTGAATTTCTTATACGACTCCGAATTTTAAGGCTAGACCAGGCACAGGAGCCATTTTGACATGTCCTGTCCGCGGTCGAGCATCCCTGGGTGAGCGTGGCAGAGGTCTGCTCTGTCGCTTAGGAAAAGAGGAGCAACGGGGCTGAAGGAGGCTTTGTCCTACTTGAAGCGGAGAACAGCCGCAGCGGATCAGTTGAAGCTGCTTTGGCAAGGAGCAGAGACCTCGTCTTCCCCTCTTCGGTCAGGAATCTCTACGCTCCGCCAAAGCCTGAGTTTCATAACCAGCTAGAAAGAACTTGCGGGCTTCCACGGGGCTCAGCTGAGCCGTTCGCGGAGCGGGAATGGGGAAAATGTACGCAGCAGCCAGTGCTGTTCATCCAGCAAAGGGCTTTTCAGCCTTTCTTCAGTTGGTTCATGGTGGGGCAAGCGTCATTTGCCTTTTCTCGTCTTGGTCTGCCTGGATGTGGTTACAGAGGGATGTGAGTTGTCCCATGGTGCAGAAGAGACCTCGCGAGATGGGAAGAGGCAACTACTTCTGAGAAAGATGAAGTGGGACAGTTTGTGTAGCTTCAGCTTCATGCGGCTTGAAGAAAGCAGTTCGTGGATGTTCCTCATGGCGCTGGCTGGAGATGCACGTTAGCAGCCTGGGACCTGCGAGTAGCTGGGCTGGGACACATCTGGTTTCTCTGCTTCCTCTTATTTTATCCCACCATAACTCTGCTTCGTGGACGAGCTGCTTCTCTAGTTAAAACTGAAGAAAAAAAAGGACCAGGAGGGCTGCCAGGGGAGTGGGAAAGTGGAAAGAAGGTGAAGGTCTGTTGATTTGGTCTTGGTCAAACATCTGCTGTGCCTCTGTGGACCCCAGTAGGAGACACATCACTGAGCACAAGATGCAGGAGCGAGAAAGAAATCTTCCACGCACCCTGGCAATCCCTGACACCGCTGGGGATTTTGAAATGCAGATGAAATATGAGGGAAATCTCACCTGCGGGTGCCTGCAGGCTTCTCTAAGGCTGGTGCTCCAAAGCCTTCCCAGGCCTGGGACAGTTACAAGTGTTTGGAGGGCAGTGGCTTTGCTGGTCCAGGCTTTATTTTTCCCTTACACTCCTGAAAATCCAGAACAAAATCCATGATTCCTCTCGGACACCTGGAGTTTCTGCTTACGTGCAGCATTTGAAAACATGGTCCACCATGGAGGTAGCTGCCACGTGTGCTTATTTATTTGTTTCTGTTCTCACCTCCTCCTTGCTGATCGCTGCTCGCCAGCCTGGCAGGTTTTCAGGAGCTGGGCTGCTCTTACATAATGTTGCACCAAAATCCGTACAAAAGGACTCAGGAATCCATGGCTGGAGTCACCTTTGATCCCTGGATTCCCTTCTGGATGGTCCGCACAGCTCAGGCACGCTGTTGTGAGCTGCTGCTTTGCGCTGGGGCATCCTCTGCCCTCGGGACCAGGTGTAACGTGGAGGGTGAGGTCTCTGGCCATGACGCCCAGCAAGTGCCGCCTCCGCTGCGGCTGCGCTGGCTCTCCAGGGCATCCAGCCCCTTGCAAGAGCAGCATCTCCCGGGTCCCTAAGAGAGCGTGGCCAGAGTTCAAGCCTGTATAATTAATGGTAATTATCCGGTTGAGGCCGTGGGTATGAAGCTGATTTAACTCTTCTGAAATCCTCAGCCCAAGTCCCACTGAGCCGTGTCCTTGGCTCAACGACCCACGTCCAGAGGATACTGTGGGGTGCACCCCCCAGGAAGGTGGGCAGCGTTCGCCGCAGCACCCGCAGCGCTTTGGGTGCTGGCGTGAGCTGGTTTGAAGCAATCGTGACCCGGGCAGCTGCAATCCCGTCTCTGGGTCACAGCGCAGACAGAGCTGCAGCGACGGAGCCAGGCTCTCTCCCATGCTGGTCTCCGGCCGGGTGCCTTTGGTGATAAATCTGAGGGCTGCGAATGGCAGCGTATACAATAGTGGTTTTTAGCCAAGATATTGGGCTTTTGCGTAAATGCGTCCATACACACGTACGCTGTCAGGCGGCAGGTGAGACAGGAGAGTCAGAGACATTAATCTGTGGGGAAAAGGGAGCCTTGGAAGCTTGCCACTTTTGTTCCAGTCTCTGCTCTCTGGGAACTCGATTTTCCCCTTCTTTCCCTCCGTGATTTACTTCACGTGATTTTTTGCCTTTTAAAAATAGATGCCTTGTTTGCAGTAAGAACGCCCTGCGCGTGTTTGCGCAGCGGGTGAGATTCAGCAAGACTGGGATCCGGTAAGACTTCAGCATCGCGTCGGTTCTGGCTCAGCCAGCTGGACACGAGGGCTGACGTTAAACTTCTGCCTCGGAGCGAATGGCTGCGGGCACGGACAGTCTGTTTCTTCCATTTAAAAAGAAAAAAAAAATATATTAGAGGAAGCGCTCACCCTGCAGCCAGAACAGTTTTGGTTATTCAAGGATGCTTTTAGGGTTCAAATGTATCATGACATCTCTTTACCGAATTCCCATCCTGCCCTCCTATTCCCTTCCAGGGGATGCTCACCCCTGAGCTTGGTTTGGGTTTATTATAAAGGGGGAGTTGCAGGAATTAACGTGCTTTGTGGGAACAGGAGAGGAGTACAAAGGCAAGCTACGGGCAGAGAGTGAAACCTGAGCGTGTGTTGGCTTGGACAATCACGGCACGTACAAAAAGGGAACACGCGTGGTAAAGCAGAGAGGACTGTACCGGTCTTCTCAGCTCAACCACTCAGTGCTGTTGTGTCGGATCTGGCTGATGTTTCCACCCAGGTGCAGCAGGCGCCCGCTGCCGGGAGCCACCCCAGCTCGGCCCATCGCCACCGAGCTGGCACCAGCCAGGATACAGCCGGTGACAGCCGTCACATCAGAGCTGGAGCAGGGCGCTGGCACCACACACAAGGCTCTACAGACCGAACCTGCTTGCAGCATGTCCCGACACTCTCCGTGATTCAGCACACACAACTTGCCCAAACCTGCGACAGGGACTGATCTCCTCCCATTGCACACGAAGAGGAAAAGCGGATTTTGAGGCCAAGAGGCAATATTTTAGAATGACAGCAGTTTGTGAACGTTTGTGCACTCTTGAAGGTTTATCTGATGATAACTTGAACCATCACAGCTCCTCCTGTGTAACTCCTCCCCGGACACTCTTCCCATCGCAGCCAACTCTTCCCAGGTAGTTCAGCCTGAAACGTGAGGAGGCGGAGGGGGAGCCGGCCAGGAACATCTCCAGAGATGGAGAAACCCTGCTGGGGGCCAGAGGAGTTCCATGCACCCACACAGCCTGCTTCTCTGCAGCCTCCACCGATGGCGAAAGCCTTGGTGGCCTCCGGCCCTTGGGCTCGACTTCCACTCCTTTTCCGATGTGGTTTGACTTCACCACAAAGAGTTCGCTCTGTGCTAAGCTCGCTGTGAACTGAACTTTTCTAACGTGGGCTGAGGAAGGGACCAGTGAGAGCTGCTTCTGGGTAACTCCACGTGCCGATGGATTCACACCACAAGGTCCCCAGGAGAGGGGCTTCACTCCGGGCAGTGCCTGCGTGGGGGATGCTTCACCCGAGCTCCTGGCCCGATGACCCCCCTCTGCTGAGCCATCCTACCTTTGCCACTTCTCCCAACACAACTCAAACAAGTGTTGGGTACTTTTTTTCTCGGTAGCATGTAGGTCACTGGAGAGCCTTAGGGACCTGGCAGCTGACATTCATCCTTGGTTTCCAATCCATGCGTCAAGCTTTCTGGAGGCGATAGAAGTGCAGCTGATGGTGAGACCAACTGCCTTTTGTGTGGCTTCAATTAAATGTCTTTCTCGGCATGGGATAGTTGCCAGAGCTCTATTTTTTTGTTGAAAGAAACCTTTTTATTTAGATATGTATAAAAAAGTCCCACCTGGCTTTTTGGAAGGGTTTCAGCTGGAAAGTAACAGATCCCATAGTCCTCTATAAAAAGGTGAGCCATATTTTTCAGCTGAACTTGTCTCCCTTATATAGCTGCGATTTGTCACACACACGGTGTCAGCAGCAGCAAGGTCCATGCCCTTCCCCAGCTGAGGAAGGAAAGCCGTGGCACGTGCCGGGGCCAGTGATGCGGGGGCAGCTGCCGAGGACAAGCCCGGGGGAGACGTGACCCCCGAGACCTGCTCACCGCAGGAGCCCTGGGGCCGCTCGGAGACCCCAGGAGATGTGTCCTGGCCACTGCCGATGAGATGCCTTCACAGCCATGACCTCCGGAGAGGATCCGTGGGGATGGTCATGGTGGAGCACGTGCTTCTTCTCCTCGCCTTTATTTGCTTTGTCTTCCCTGCTCTTCCAGCCCAGGCTAACACCAGCTTTCTCTATTCTAACAACAGCACAAGCATGGGCAGCAGGTTAAAACACGGCAAGCAGCTGCTCTGTTTTTTTTCTTCCTGCACCAC